AAAGTTGTCACGCACAAGTTTTCCGAGGGGGAACAGAACCGTGAATGTTTTAAACCGGAGCGACAACTACTCTCTACCCTGGCAGCAGCTTTGCGGTTCGGCTCGGTTCGTTCAGCCTTGATCCAGTGACCGCACACAGCCGTGCTGTTTCGGAACCTCCTCTCTGGTCCGGTCGGTGGTTCTAAGCTGGCAGAAGCGAGGACAGCACGCTTACAGTTTTGACATCCCGTGGATTAGCTCTTGATGGACAGAAGAAAGGAGAGCACAGCTTTTGTTTTGGAATATGAGCGTGACATGATGAGAGCAGTGATAAAAACTGCTCCCTGCAGGAGCCAGAGGCTAATCTCCACATGATGCTCAGAAAATGCAGCAGTAAGAAGGGTAGCTATCAATTTAAATAACTGACTAATTCTTACCATTTATTTTTTGCTCTTGTTATTAGAGTGATGTTTAATCTGTTTACACACTTGTTTGAGTGAAGATTAAGTGCAGTGGTCACGTTGTTTTAGTTACAGTCAGTAAAATTGGAGCTGTGGACTCTTAACTTTAAACAGACAATAATGTGGGGTTTTGTTTTGTCCCCACCTTCAGTTTTTTCCACCATAAAGCAGCACAAGGCTGACAGGTAGTAAAACAATAACCAAAGTGATTTTGAGTTGTTATTTTATACTTTAAAAGTACATTTTGTTTTTATTGTTTTATTTTTCAGGGTATTATAATTTATTATATTAAATTGTATAATGTTCTTCAGTTTAAAACGTATGTCATCCATTGGTTAAAAATAAATGGGTCAGTTTTTCTCATACCTACTCTTTTTCACTGTTTGACCTGATCAAGAATTTTCTAAGATTTTACATTACAAAATAGTGTGTGTGTACAAAGTGTGTGACTTGTACTGTTATGGTAACGGGTCAATATCGGTATCGGACAATTCTCAAAGTTGTAATATCGGAATCGTATCGGAAGTGAAAAAGTGGTATCGGGACATCCCTAATACACACACACACACACTACCATGCATTTACACATTCCCCCATAATCACATTCAGACTAATTATCAAGCGTTTTATTCCTGCATTCAACCCACTCTTAGACACAGTCCAGTGTTTTTATTCTCAGAGATAATAGTCAGAGCTCAGATGGCTCTGGGCAAAGGCAATACAGATGTTACCTGTCAACTTTATGCTTTTCTGTGTATCTGTGGTCTTTTTTTGGTTGCGAGCCACCTGCAATGGCAAGCTGCTCGTTTTGCCAAGGACTTGGCACCTCTCCAGGTGGTTGACCCAGATAAGACACGTCAAGAAAAGGAGAGGAACAAACTCGCGCTAACGTTCACTCTAACACTGTACGTACAGTACACCTGCATATGTACCCGCACTGTATGTACAGTACACCTGCACATGCAGCTACACCTGAGCAGGAGAAAAGAGCTTTTATGGCGTCTTTTTACGATGACCTCAGATCTTTCTGATGCAGCGAATATTCTTTGTCTCACAGCAGTTTACTAAAAAGTTAGGAGTTTGTTCAGCAGCTTTATATTGCAACTTTGCGGTGTTGGTTATTACAGAATAATTTTAAGATAACTAGCTACAGGTAAATGAAACCACGCAAAGATAATGATATTTATGTTGCATGTTTTCAAACTGTTTATTTTATTTTATTTTTTTATTTTTCAGTGATATTTACCTAACCGTAACACCGAAACGGCTGCACTGATCAACATAAAATTTGTTAGGAGTGTAGATGTGTCCGACCTACGCTGAGCCAGCCAACGATTTTACAATAGACCCCATATTTGAGGAGGGGGCTCCATCTGAAAAGGGGGTGTTCTGGACATACAAAAATGCTTATAACTCAACAACTGTTCAACATAGAAGCTTCAGATTTTTTCATTGTTTAGCTCTGATGAAGGGCTATCCATAGGGCCCAGCAATGAGACCCCTCAACCCCATCTGGACCCTCATTCAAAACAATAAATCTGTTCTGGTGACTTTGGTGCATTGGTGCTTTGCGTACATGCAGGGTTCATATATAAACTCACCGGCCACTTTATTAGGTACACCTGTCCAACTGCTCGTTAACACTTAATTTCTAATCAGCCAATCACATGGCAGCAACTCAGTGCATTTAGGCATGTAGACATGGTCAAGACAATCTCCTGCAGTTCAAACCGAGCATCAGTATGGGGAAGAAAGGTGATTTGAGTGCCTTTGAACGTGGCAGCTCCTTGTTGAATCTATGCCACGAAGAATTGAGGCAGTTCTGAAGGCAAAAGGGGGTCCAACCCATTACTAGCGTGGTGTACCTAATAAAGTGGCCGGTGAGTGTATATGACTTAATTTGTCTTGTTGGTTACAATATGTGAGAACCTACTCTATGAAATTAATACCAGCTTAATCTCACAAAGTCATATCTTACGCAAAGATCTTTACGTTATGAAATC